CCCAAAAAAAAAAAAAAAAAAAAAAAAAAAAAAAGATCTTGGCTAATCAATACGCATTTAAACAGCTACAGTAACAGGGTTATTTGAAAATGTTTTAAAAAATACAGACTATTGAGTTTAGAGTCTAGAATGATCAACTTTAGTTCATCCTCAGTTTTATTACACTGTTTCACGTTATATCCATCAGTCCTTTGTGTGAAAATAATAGTTTTTATCCTATCAGCATCTTATTTACAAAAGTCCCTTTTCCACTAGAGAATCACAACAGCTTGAATAAATATTCTGTGGAAAATTCTGCATTCAACCATTTTATGATTGTATATATCAAAGATTACCACTTCTAATACAGAGCAAGAAGAGATGACAGACAGACCAACTCAAGGGCAGAAAAATCAGCAAGTCTTATGGCTCAGAGAGAGAGAATGAGCACCTGCTCTAGGTGGTACTGGTAACTGAACCCAGAAACACTCTACCACTGAGCTATATCATCAATCCTTTTTATTTTTTTTGGTACCAGGGATTGAACTTGGATCCTTGTGCTTGCGAAGAAGGCAGCGGAACCACTGAGCTAAATTCCCGGCCCAGTCCTTTTTATTTTTTTGAACTTTGATACAGGGTCCCAGTAAGTTGCCCAAGTTAGTCTTGAACTTGAGATTACAGAGGAGAGATTACAGGCATGTGCCACTATGTGTAGCTAAGCACTATTCTTTGTTTTTGTAGCACTAGATCTAGGGCCTCTCACATGCTAGGCAAATACTCTATCTGTCACTGAGCTACATGCCCAGCCTCAAACCATATATTTTGAATACTTGTTTTGCAGCAAGCACCAGGGACGTGGTGAGCAAATCAGGCAGGATTAGCATCCTCAGGCTTAAAATTCTCATGGGGAGGAAACAAATAATATTTACAAGGTATGTCAAATGTACAAGGTATAGAAACTGAGAAATACCCAGAGTAAATAAAATGGGAAGGAATTAAAGTTGGAAAAAACTCAAAAGGAGGTGATGATGAGAAAGGCATCTTACCTGGCTCAGAGCTGCTGCTGACTTCAGGTCTAGAGCAGCAGACATGATTTCTTTTTAGGCTTCTTCTTTTCCACTGGTGTTTTTCTATTTATTTGTCTGACCAGGTCATAAAATATCTAAACAAAAACAACAGAAAAGTACTTATACAACCAATATTTGAGACTTTGTTCCAAAAACAATTTTGGTTCTGTTAAATGTTATTCTACTCTACAATCTATTATTTTGCTGCTTTGTTTTGTTTGAAGTCAGGTTTCTTACAAGTCTCAGCTGACTTCCAGTCAGAGTAAAGCAGGACTTACCTATTTAGGAAGAACACTTGCTGTTAGACTAAGAAAAATAACTGGCATCTTAAAAAATAAAATAAAACAAAACAAAACAGAAAACAAAAAATCCAAACCAAAAAGCAACAAACCTGGCAGTGAAAAGGCAGTTAAAACTTTAACTTACAGAAGAGTTGTAAGGACAGTACCAAAGAACTTCTGTATATTCTTCCTAGATCCACCACTCAGTAACATTTTGCCACTTTTACTTTATTGTTTTTTTTTCTCTCCCCATACACATATTTATTTTCTGAACCATTTGCAAGTAGTTTGCATACCACATATCTCTTAATGGTTGAATGTGTATTTCCTAAGAACAAGGATATTTTCTTATATAACCATTATTACAGTTATCACATTCAACACATGTAAGCACTGATACACTACTTTGTATCATCTACAGTGCAAATTCCAAATTTCAATTTCACCAGTTATCCCTATGATGCCCTAAAAAGTAACTTTCTCCTCCAGAGACAGAATCCATCCAGGACCACACAATGCACTTTGTTTCTCAACACTAGTTTTTGTTTTTTCTTTTTTTTAAGTGCAGAACAATTCCCTGGACTTTGCTTTTAGGTTAGTAAATTTATAGAATTTTCTTCAATTTGAGATTGCAGTTTCCTCAATGATTAGATTTATGTTATGCATTTTTGGCTAAAATAAGATAAATTAATTGTTTTATGTCCCTCCTCAGGTATCACATGCAGAGGCACATAATTCTTATTTGCCCCTCTTTGGTAAGGTTAATTCTAATTGAAATCCTGAACAGATACTACACTCAATCTTAGTCAGAAAGGATGAGAAGCAACTGAAGTACTACACAGAAGAGCTTTAGTGATCCTGGAAGTGACACGTTATATGTTAATAAATCTCGTGGATTCATTGTTGGATGCAAAATACTGTACAAAGTATCAAAGACAAAAATACAATGCTATTTATTTCACAAAGCAGATTATTTTAATTCTGGTGTTTATATATAGTTTCATAGTTCTAAGTATGTCAACATGTTGAAACATGAAATATACCAGCTGAATCTAAGTCTCTGCCATGAAATGGAAACACTAACTTTTTACTGACCTGGAATACAAACAAATATTATAAAAGCTCCTTACTAGTACTTATCTGGCATAAACAGTGCTTTGTAGAGACGAATTTTTTAAAACATACTGGTTTTAAGGAACACTACAAAGGCCAATTGGAAAAGTCTGAATAAATAGCAATTACAAATTATGTTGATGTCAATTTTCCTGATTTTATTCTTCATTTATTTTGTGGTGCTGGGAATTAAACCCAGGAATTTGTCCATGACAGGAAAGGACTCTATCACTAAGCCACATTCCCACTCCAATTTTCCTGACTTTAATTGTTTTGCTGTGTTTGTGTAAGAGAATGTCTTTAATCCAAGGATATATATACTAAAATATTAAAGTAAAGGGGTGTGATTTCTGCAAATATATGGCAAAATATTAATAAACGGTAATCTATATGAAAAGTTGACAAATTTTTATTGTTCTTGGCTCTTGAGTAAATTTTAGATGTAAAACATTTTATAGTAAACTATCACATTTTTAAAAGATGATAAACAATCATTTATTTACTTTAAAAATATAGTGATTTATCCCAAAGCTATAACTCATTTATATTCTTTTCTTTTTGGCTCATCCTCCCCACTCCCATCTTCTTGAAACCAATCTTATTTTTAAGAGAAGTTTGAAAACAGAATTTATAAACAAAATGGTAAATGGTATTGGTTTTACCAAAGTCCAAGTTGTTTCATAACTTTAAAGACATCAAAAACTTAATATGCATACGCCACGAATGAGCTCTTATTCATTCCTGAAGCTTAATGTATAAGCTATAATATAAAAAGTAATAAAAAGGTAAACCAGACAGCAAGTTAAGCACACACATAGGTAGTTTCAATTTTAGTTTCTTTATGCCAGTTTCCAGTAGGTATTATACAGAAAGGTAACTGATTTTTGTATTAATATTCTAAATTATTTCTTTGGAAAGCATTGCCTACCTCACAGCAGCAGATGGTTCAGTGATGAGGGCAAGTTCGAACTATAATATTGGGTTAGAAATGCTGAAAGTCCCCAGCCTAGGTTCTTCCTCATCTCTCTGAACTATAGAAAAATCTAAAGGGAACACAGAATAGAGTTTCTCAATCCCTCTCCCATTCCTAAATTGGGATGTCTTGATTCCAATTATTATTCCAGCCTCAATTAATTCTTGACGTGATTCTGGCATAGCTATACACTACTTTTATAATGTAACAAAACTGATGTGGATAAAAGTTGAAGAGAAGAAAATCAGAGAACTACAGGACTCTGGCTAAGCAATAGTCCTTATCTGTTTTCAAATTTGAGAGTAAGAGATGAATCTTGTAAAAATATTATCCCCCTATCTTCAGGCATTCAGAAATACATAAACATTTACCAGGCAGCTGAAGGTATCTGAAGAACTATTACCTATCAAAGGTTTATTAGGCTACAAAGAGAAAAATCTTGAAAGTAAAAACAAAAACAAAAACCCCTCAAATTATATTCTCAAGAATTTCTACTATGAAGTTTGTGTATTTTCCCAAAAACCAAAGATTAAAATGGCCAATGCATTTTATTTTATTGTTTTTCTGTATTTGTTTTATGAACTCTTCTGTCAAGAGCTGCCTTTGAAAAAACTGTTGTGAAAAAGTTCTATTACACAGACTATAACCCAGTAGAGATTTAGCTGCATGTCAGTTCCCACAAACACATATAACTAAATGATGCTAAAAGGGAGAGGTCCTGCCTGCTGGACCCTGGCCAACTCAGTCCCAAGAGACTCAGTGAATTTAGTGGGTGGGCACCAGCAAGGGTAAGGACAGGCACAGTAAGGAATGAGACCACAGAGAGGGCCTACAAAAGGTTCCATTAACCAAAGGGCATTTAACAATCCTAATGTGTCCCTAATGAGAATGACTTTTTAAAATAAAAGATTGTACTAAAATTAATTTTATCATAGACACATTTTTCAAAACCTCTAGGAATCTATAATTCTATAAAAGAGAAACTTGAAGCTGAATGAATATATATTAAATTTCCTTTCATTTACTTGGAAGTAAGTACGAAATAACTGTGGACAATCTCAGCAGAACTTGCTCCCCACTAGGATATAAACAAATACTTTTTTGAAACAAGGTCTCATTAAAAGTCACTGAGTTGCCCAAGCTGGGCTTGAACTTGGAATTCTCTCTGTCTCATTGTCTTAGAGTGCTGGCATTTTAGCTGTGTGCCACATGCCCAGGTAGATGTAAACCTCTTAAGGGTGGGAACACATGACTGTTACCTGAATCCCTAATAGTGCCAGGTAAACAGCAGGCACTCAATATACATTTGCTGAATGAGTGAGTTTATGCATTTCTTGTTTTTTATATACTTGTTAAGAATGGTTTCATAAAAAAAAAAAAAAAAGAATGGTTTCATAAAAAAAGCAAGCTCTGGCATTCTTCATTATTTGTAAGAAAAAAGGATTTGTAATAAACTGAAATATTTTTCTGCCAGGTATTTAAAATAATTTGGTTATTTTAAAAGTCAGATAATAGTCTACAAGTGTAACAGTAGTTAAGGAGAAGTGGCCCACAGAAGAACTAGCAAGGACCAGAAGAACCAGACCAAAGAATAGCAAAAAAAAACCCCGCAGATTCGGTTCATCTAACCTACTATTTTCTGTTCTTTAAATTATCTAAGTTCTGACTGATGACTTGTGATGCTACAAATGACAAGCACACAGGCATGAGAAAGGAAAGAAACCCATTATGTTTAGTTTTTTAAGAAAGGTGCACAGTCAAGTTAACAAAAATAAAGGGAATCTTAAGTTATTGCTTGATTGGTGGAGGAAGCACTAAGTTTTTATGGGCTCAGTAAACTACTAGCCCTTTGAACTCAGGAACTTTGCTTCCAGTCCACAGTTTACGTTCAAGAAAGTGTAGTGCAAAATTCAGAGACAAAAAAGAGACCTCTGCTCCAAATCAGAACTAAGGACTGAGTTCCAGTTACATGTCTAATCTCACACAGACTCCTCACTTCCAGGTATGCACCAAAGATGAGGCGACTCAGAAACCACATTCTCTGATATCCATAAACATCTTTCTCTGTAACAACCGTTTATTACAATAAGTACTTTAAGTTTTGCATTTTCCTACTTGACTTTACAATGTATTTATGCGTCTAGACAGATAATTGTTATGACATAAGGTGTTGTGATATTTTTCACATACCACTTTCTGGTACATCTGTTAAGAATTTAGCAGGGCTTTAACGTCTTTAACTTCCTCTGTAACAATAAGATAAATTTCAGTGTCCTCATTAGAACTATTAAAGTGATCTTATACAGGAACGGAACTACTTGGTGTTTTTTATGAAGTGACAAAATGAAGAGTGCTTTGACATTTTTTGTTTTAAAATTTTGGCAATTAATTTACAGCAAAGGAAACTAAAATGCGCTTGTTTTGTGCCACTTAGCAGTTGTAAGTTACCTCATTAACGTTGATCTTTGACTTTGCAGAAGATTCTAAAAAGGCACAGTTACACCACTGTCTTGCTAAATTCTGGCCCTGTTCTTTGCCAACTACTCGCTCATCTTCCAGGTCACATTTATTGCCAACCAAAATCATTGGAACCTGAAAGAAGGTAAAACATAAAATAAACAGTAATATACTAATTACTTAGTCTGTTGTTATAAATAAGGAATTAACTGCTATCAACTAAAATGTATTTGTTAGAATTATAAGCTTTACCAAATGGTTAGAAAAGGGGGGGATTATATATCTATGTGTATTAGGGGCCAGTAGAAAGAATGGATGGAGAGGGAAGAGATAAAAAATTACAGAACTCATAAGCACAAGGATCAGAGTTCAATCCCCAGTACCAAAAAAAAAAAAAAAAATTATGGAACACATTCTACCAGATTATATGCCAAATTATTTTAAGACTATAATCCAAAAGTTCTCTTGTGAACTACTGCAAATAGTTGAATTCCAAGTAGAAAAAAGTCTGAAGGAAAAGGAAGCTCCTCCTGCAATACACTGGTACTCACTGGGGCTACATGATATAAGTATTTCATCTCCTAGGTGTAATAAATGGTAAAGCAGCAATAGATCAACATAGTAAAAGCTTTGACTTCTACATTTCATATCTAGGTCTCAAGACTATTTAGGTGAAATATTAAAAGAGGATTAGCATAAAAATACTCCTTTCCTCCATATCACAGATGTTCAGTACCATCTACAACACTCTACTTCCATTAAGATGGTATAAAGTTCTCATTTAAAAGGTATTCAGGGGGAAGGCCATTTGTATGTAAGGTGAAGGTTATTGTACCGCCCCCCCAAAAATAAATAAAAGACATGGTGGACCTTCTACCTAAAACAGGTAATTGCCACAAGTTAGAGGAAATGCACTAGGCATCTACAACTCCATCTTTTTTCCTTTACTACATGAATAAAGGGATTAACATTATCAGAGCTTAGTGATCTGCACATAATTGCCTATGAAAACAGAGCTCTCTTTGCTAAATTAGTCATGGGAAGGAAGAAAACTATTCATTAAGTTATAGGTGGTCATGAGTCATCTAGTATAAATCCTTCCCACCTACAATAATTACCAAAGTTAGGGTCCTAAACAAATGTAAATGGTCCCACTGATAATGAGAGACAACACACAAAAACTGAAAGGTCCAAATAAAAATTTATAATCTAATTAATACAATTGAGAAAGAATTCTCTGTAGCTCAAATCCAAGGTAAATAGGTAAACATTAATTTCATTTTTGCAGAGGAAAAGACTACCAACAAAATATTATTTATCAAATAAGAATATATTTATAAAGCAAGATTAAATTTTAAAAATCAAGTTAATTAAAATCTATAATATAATCCAAAGGAAAAAAACTACTTGTAAGAAAAAACTACACTACACCAACAGAATTTTAGAAATAGGGATAACTACTATGGCTCTTAATGTTTGCTGAATATTATTTCTGATATAACAAAGATCAACTTCGGCTCCACTTTTCTATATTGACTATTTTTCTTTCTCACTTTTTATCCACATAAAACGAGCATTTTACCTTGCGTGTCCCCATTTTTTAAAAACATCTAACCATGTAATTTGTAGAGTAATTTTAAAAGATAAATTTATTTTGGTAGGGCCAGTGATTTACCTCAGTGGCAACCATGCCTGCCTCGAAAGCACAAGGCTCTGAGTTCAATCCCTGGTACCAAGAAAAAAAAAAAAAAAAAAAAAAAAAAAAGGCATAAGGGCTCTTTTGACATGTGGTAGATACCTTTCAAACCCTCAACCAGGCACGGATAATCCCTCAGCATGTGGTAGGCTGAGGCAAGAAGATTACTGCAAGGTGGTGACCAGCCTGGGCTACACAGTAAGTTCAAGGCCAGTCTGGAATACATGGTGAGATGCTGCCTCAAAACAAACCAACCAAAAACAACGCCCAAAATAAATCCTCTACTAATGAGAAAGCAAACACTTTTTTTAGTTTGGCTGCAGGGAGATGACAGTATATCTTATAGAGAGAAAAATACTTACATCTTCTGTGTCCTTAACCCGTAAAATCTGTTCCCTTAAATCCTGTAAATCATTAAACGTAGACTGAGCTGTAATGGAATATACTAGTGCAAACCCTTGGCCATTCTTCATATACAAATCCCTCATTGCTGTAAATTGTTCCTATAATAAAAAAACAAATGATAAATATATAAATTTTAGAATATATACTGGAATAATTTTAAACAAAAATCACAAGTGAGTTCCTACTTTTTTATTACATACTATCATAACAGAAAACATAGGACAAAACACACAGTGTTTTTTTTTGAGATAGGGTCTTACTATGTAGTTCGGACTGGCCTTCAACTCACTATGTAGTCCAGGCTGGCCTTAAACACCATATAATCCTCCTGCCTCAGCCTCCTGAGTGCTGGGATTACAGGCATGCATTACCACGCCTGGCTCACATAACACATAGTTTCTGACAACTCTAAGGTCAATGTTCCTATTCCTTATTTAGGTGACTAGAAAAAATGACAATGAACTTTGAATTAAAAGGAATTGTTAACCACCTCAATTTGCTTTTGAGTAATTTAGAAAAACTAAACTATAATTTAATCATCCAGGACAGACTCAATATCGCTACTGGAAAATTTTATTATCTTGATAATCATTAGACTTTGGATTTTTTTGTTTGTTTTTTTGGTGGTGCTAGGGATGAAACCCAAACCCTCATGCATGCCAAGCAAGCATCTACCACTGAGCTGCATCTCCACCCTGTAAGAGCATTTTTATGATATTTATTTCTTCACCACATTTAAGCCATTAAACTTATCATAAAGATATGAGAGGGAGCTGGTGATTTAGTTCAGTGGTGCCACCATCTGCCTTGCAAGTGCAAGGTCCCGAGTTCGATCCCTGATATCCACCTTCACCCCCCAAAAAAGATATAAGTAGTGCAGTGACTATTCTCTCCTTTAGTTAGATTCAATAATTGTTAACATACAGTTGCTGAGCTATAGTCACACCAAATTAAAACTGTTTCAATTTTAAAACCACTTCCTCTTATTTGATGACAATCACCACTGTATATTACAGCTGTAGGTATTGGTTAGAATCTTATTTTTAAAAGCCTCTAAATTTTATACTTAGAAGTAGGAAAGGCACATCTAGCATAATATTAAAATGTATATATCATGAGTATAACTATATATTTTCAATGTTCCCATCTTTGGATGCATCAAACACAAAGCCTAAGTCTTTAAATTTTGTAAGCTCTTGTTTCTTTGGCTTGCTGGTTTCCCACCACTACTACCGCTAATTATGTCTACTATGTCTGCAATAGTTCTAGTTGTTCTACCTTGGCTGATGTACTCAATTTGTGTTTCAAGGAGTCAGCTATGCTATCACGCAACCATTTTCCTAACTTCAAATTCTAGGAGTCATTAGTGTGCCATAGGATTATGGCTGAACTTTCTGTATTGCTGAGAGTGCATTTTCTGGGAAAGATGTAAAAATTAGTGTTTTTCTGGAATTTTCATTTATAAACTGTTAGAAATTCTGGCACTATTTTTCTTACTATGTTCCCTTGAGATCATAGTCTTTGCTACTTATTAATGAAAAGAGTAAACACATAGAGCCAGTCTGTTGGCAAATTCAATCTAAAAATAGTCCTTATAGAAGAACTGCTTGATGGTTTTATATACCTCTGAAAAATCCCAACTTCTTCCTAAGGACATTCTAGGAGTTTCATCCATTCAATAATTATCCACAGAGGGCCCAGTACAGTATTGTAACAGACACTGTTACAATATTAGGGAGGTGGTGAAGATCAGGATAAAAAATCTCAGGAGGAGTGTGTATGCAGACAAAGATAAAACATAAAGTATACCAGACAGTAATAAATGTTACAGAGAAAAAGCAGAGGAGGAGAACAGAGAGTTTCTTTGGAGGATGGGAACAGAAGGTCATATTTTAAAGGGACAGGGTAATAGGAAGGAGGTAAGGAAAGTGAGAAAGCAAACTCTTATCAGTATGTGGAGGAAGAGTATTCCAGGCAAAGGTAACAGCAAATGCACAGGACCTAAGAGGGATTTGAGAAGCTGCAGAAGGCTGAGTTTACTGAATCAGTGAACTACCAGGCAAGCACAGATGTGGCCAGATAGGGAAACACCTACCTTAATGAAAATTCTGAGTTTAAAATAACTTTTTAAATGGAGCTTACAGCATATTCCTGACCTCAATACAAAGAAAGACAGATTCTGCAGGTGAACTCAATTACAATGTAATGAGGCTATGTGGGCATTAAATATATTACAAATGATTTATATATATGAGAAAATTTAAGAAGCTATATATTCAAAGAATTTTTAAAAATCAAATGATTACTTTTTACACAGAATTATTCACATGACAAAATATGTTTGCAAAATCTGGGAAGGAAGAAAGGAGGGAAGAAGAGAGGGAGGAAAAGACCAAACAAACATGCTTACTGTCCCTGCTGTATCCAGGATTTCCAGCATACACTGTTGGCAATCTACTTCAACCTGCTGTGAGGGTGAAAAGAAAAAAAAAAAAAAAAAAAAAAAAAAAAAAATGAAAACAGGAACTGCAAACTGTCATTCTGTTTCCCTTACACCTCTTTATCCATTACCTATTAAAAACTACAAAGCATTTTCCTAGCAGTTTGCTGTGCTGGCTAAGACTAAACTTGGTATCACAAAATAAAGAATAGGAGTCTTCAAGCACATTCTATTAATACTTCAGAAGTCAGGATAGTTAATGTTGAATAGAGATATTTTCTGGCCACTGTAATGATGCTTATTTTTTCATATTAGAAAGAAAACGATCCTATTTTGGAATTTTAGAAAAACTCTAAACAGACACAACAGCTCTTACAGAAAAAAATGCCATGTGTTTGTTTGTATCATATTCATAGAAAAAAACACAAAAGTATTAAATTGTTGAAAATGTATATAAGAAGCTGAGCACAGTGACAGAAATTTGTAATCCCAGTTGTTGGGGAGGCTAAGGCAGGAAGATTACAAGTCTGAGGCCAGCCTGAGCAACTGAGCAAGACCCTATCTCAGAAAAAAGGGCAGGGTATGTAGCTCAGTGGTAGAGGGCTTGCCTAACTTGCATGAGGTTATGGGTTTAAAGCCCAGTAGCCCTCCCCAAAAAAGCATAAAAAATTTGTGAGTAAAGAAAATTGTCAACTATATTCAAGTTGTTAAAATTTTACTAAAATAGTCACAACATTTAAGACATAAATGGATCACATACGTGTTAAATATCACTGAGCTCATACACTGAAGAAAAGAGCTCTATTTCAGAAAAACTAAGCAAAGTGTGAAATTTTATACACTGCATTACATTTTCCCACTGTCTTATAAAAGAAGTGGCCTAAAGAGTGTGTCAACTATCAACTGTATGGAAAATTTTTATTAAAGAAATGATGAAGAGCCAGGCGTGGTGGTGCATGCCTTTAATCCCAGCACTTGGGAGGCTGAGGCAGGAGGATTGCTGCGAGTTTGAGACCAGCCTGGACTACACAGTGAGTTCCAGAGCAGTCTGAACTACATAGTGAGACCCAGTCTCAAAAAAAAAAAAGAAAGAAACGATGAAGAAAAGTTAGTCTTTCAGTGTTTTACATACAGATCTTATTTTGTAAAGATTTAATTTTTCTGGGGAAATTTCAGTAAAGCAACACTGTCCTCCAAAAATAAATGTACTGTTACCCTACAGTCTGTTTTAATCTCTGCCTCAGTGTAAGACAGGGATTGGGCTGTCCCTCCAATGCACAAGGTGAGTAAAATCTGTAACCAGCAATGTGCAATGAATAATGAACCATGTCTATAGTTTTGCAGTGTAACCAGAGTGAAATTTTGTTTCCAATTTGAAGATAGCTAAATTACTATCATAGTTCTTGATGAACTTAATTCAACAAAACTTATTGGACTAGTAAAGATAAATCCTAAAAACATCTAACAAAGGAATCCTTTCCTATTTGTTGAAAGAAAGGTTTAATATTTGGAGGGAGGGGGTATATGCTTGGTTACTAAACCAGTCTTTTATAACACTTTTTCCTTCCAATATATTTGGCAAACAAAATGGTGGAAATTTTCCATAATTCTAACTAGTCTTATAATTAAATACATTTTTGGCTCAAGAACAAGTCTAGTTTTTTCACTCTTAAGTAGGCTTAATTTTTAAAAGAGAAGTTTTAGGTTCAGTGCAAAATTGAGAAGAAGGTAGAGATTTTCCATGTTTTTCCAGCTTGTACCATACATATCTTCCTCCTAGCAAAATCCTACACCTGAATGAGAAAAGGGAAAAATGGAAACAAAGTCTTTATAAACAGGGGAGGGGGGTGAAGGGAGGGCAGGGGAATGAGGTAAAAATGAGAACCAAGATCTGTCATGTGAAGGTACAAGGTCCCAATGATAAATGTAACCGTACTGTATATTTAAAAAATACCAATAAACTCAATGAAAAAAAAAACCCTACACTTGAGTGGCACAATGCGTCAAAGTGTGACCTATACACTGACACATCATTATCACCAAAAGCCCACAATTTAGTCTTCTTCTGATATTGCACATTCTATGTTTTGACAGAATGTACGGCATCTATCCTCATTAAGTATTATACAGATTGTAACTTACTTTTCAGTAGTAAAAAAGGCAAAATATCTTTAAATTTATTATACAACTCACTGGATAACTTGAACTATAAAAGTGATCTTCATTTTTGTTAACAAGTGGCTGAAAATATACTAATATTTAATATAAAATTTTTTCTTTTAAAAATTCCCTACTAGGAAATGTATAATTAAAGAATAGAATATGGAGCTCTCTATACCTTAGAGAAATGTTTTGTCCAGGTGAAACTTTTAAAAACAGATATAGTACATTTGTATCACTTCTTAAAACTATTTTATTATTTTTAGAAGTCATTATGAGTTTACTATTTATACAATTGTTACAAGTATACAAATACAGTGGTAGAACAAATGGACAGCTCAGAGACTGGTCACCAACACACAGGCTGATACAAACACTCTATGCTTCCTGTAAGTGTGATGATAGAGATTAAATACCCCGCAAGAACATCACAGCCATAGCCTCAAGGGCTTGGGTTGGTCTACTTCCAATGTCTCAAAACTATTTTTAAAAAGGAGTCCCAAAGATCAAGTTTTAAAGACCTAAGGATCTAGCTGTAAACATGTGTACACAGTTTCACATTTTACCTTTCTGTAGGAATCTTCTATCGTTGGGTCGTATTTTTCAACAAAAATTCCTTGAACAAACTGAACTGTCTGGGGGAAAAAAAAGTGAATGACTTAAAAAATACTGCCCTTCTTGAATGTTACTTAAAGTTGTAAAGATTAAATGAAATTATGTTAAAATTCTGGGTAAATACACAAATGTAAAGAAAAATTTATTTTTCAAAGTAAACATAATATATGAGTATACATATTACAGGAATTGATCATGTTAAAACTCAAATATTGTTGTTGCTAAACAATTACTGCACTGTTTTAAAATACAAGGATACAGAACATATTCTAACGTATTAAAAAATAAAAAATATTAGTTTTTCACTTATTACCTCTTTATGTACCTACAGTAACTATGCAATGCTCTCAAAGGAAAGAGACAAAGGTATTAAACTTTAAACTTTCTAACTGGAGGGGAAAAACAGAAAAGGGAATTTAAATTTAAGAATGTCTGTTATGTTCCAGTGAGCTAGTTACTTATAATTTACAATCACAGCAGATTCACATTCATTCTATAAAGTTATTATTCCCATTTGACAGCTGAATTCAAACGTATCTTCTTCCTGACTCTAAAGTATTATTACTCTTTCCACTGGAAAACATTGCTTACTCACCTTTTTCAGATATTAGCTACACCCCCCCGCAAATCTGTGGTTGTTTCCTGAAATTCCACTTACCTAGAGTTAACAATGATCCAAAAATATTAAATGGAAAATTCCAAAAATAAACATTTCATAAATTTTACAGTGCATGCCATTTGAGCAGTGATGAAAGCTGACGCCATCCTATTCTCTTCCACACAGGACATGAATCATTTCTATTGTATCCACACTGTATATACTATCCAACCATTAGCCACCTTGTAGTCATGTTGGTTATCAAGTGAACTATCAAGGTAACAGTACCTTATCGACCCTTATTCTGGTTAACAATGGGCCCAAAACATAAAAGTTGTGATGCTGGCAATTCAGTTGTGCCAAAAAGAAGCTGTAAAGTGCTTCATTTAAATGAAAACTTGAAAGTTCTTGACATAATGAAAGAAAAAAATAACCATATACTTTACCGTAAGTTATTGTTCTTAATCCCTTACTATGCTTAGTTTATAAATTTAGCATCTCCACAGGAACAAGGAAAACAGTACATATTGGGTTCAGTACTACCTGTGGCTTCAGGCACCCATTAGGGGTCTTGAAATGTATGTCAGGCAGAAAAGGGAGGGCTACTGTATTTTTATTTCATGGATTTCTATAAGCACATACTAGAAACAATGTATTTTATCATTCAGTAAATGAGAAAGAAGTACAGAACATGGTTATATCTCCTAGACAACTTTAAAATAGGACAAGGTGTACTATTACCTAAAGGCAAAGGTAAAAATATGGACAGAGGTCACCTGTACTCAAATTACTAAAAGGAATATTTTATACACTATTTGAGCTTCAGCTACATAAATTAACTTGAATACAGTACATTTCCAACTTCTCTTACTAAGCTATTATTTAAAAGAAATTCTGGATATAATCACACCAAAAGCTTCGATCATAATTTTTCTCAAGTATTTAATCCCTTCATCTTCTTAGTATGACAATGTAAATATGAAAAACAGTCTGCTATGGCTCCTAATGTTTAGACTAGAGCCTCAGTTCTCAAAATTCTGTCTGTGGAATAAGGTCGTTGAGGTCATACTATTTTTATAATGATATTAGAATGTATTCTTCCTCTCATAGGTTTACAATGGAGTTTTCCAAAGAATATATAGAACATGTACTACTGCAAGAGCCTGGATATAGAAGAAGGCACGAACAGCCAACTGCAGACATTAATGAGCCAAATATTAATGAGACTTGCAAAACTGAAAACCTTTCTCATACTTCTCACTTCTTTCTCACTAAAAATGACCTTTCATCATTTCTCTCACTCTTACCTTCTCAATTCTCAGGAATATCTCATTCACTCAGACAGATTTTAATTTTATTCTGCTGACTTTCATACCAGATCCCCTCCTCCCTTCTCTCCTATATCATAATTTTCATCATCAATGGATTATTGCCTCCAACATACAAATTTACTCTGCTGCCTTTAATCTCCAAACATAAACTTCACCTAGCCCCACGATCCCTCTAGTTTCTGCCCCCTTTTCTGCTCTCACATACCAAGCTTCTTCAACAATCTACCTGGTAGTGTTTTTCTGCAAATCTCATTTACATTTTAACTCACCTCAGTATGCCACAGCACTACTGCTTACCCATGGCTATTTCTTTTATCATGTTCAACCACCTCCTTGTGTTCCCAAATCATTTCTTTCCTCTTTTACACTTGAATTCTGAGTAGTGTATGCATTTCATAAGTATCAGTCTGTCCTCAACCTTTCTTTTTAAATAGTCCCTAGTGGCAGGCATTTAAGTTTCCAAATTCTTGCCACTGTAAAGAACTGCAATAGCTACTTTGACCATTATTATTGTTATTAATATTACTTTTTTTTTAGACAGAGTCTTGCTTTGTAGTTCAGGCTGGCCTTGAACTCATGGCAACCCTCGTGCCTCAGACTCCTGAGTCTTGGGATTACAGGTGTGTGCCACTACATCTGGCGCTTTAAGTACTTATCTTGAAAATTCACTATTTTATCTGATGTATTTTACTTGAACATTTCAAAAACATAAACTTGTTCTAATTGTTCCTTTCTTGCTAAATCCAAAACCCTTATCAAGACAGTACTAAGCTCTGTCAAATATACCTCCTACTGAATCCTCAAACCATCTGCATATCTCTTCTTCACTGCCATGGCCCTAAATCAAGTTTCCATAAGCAATAATCTAGTATTCTTAAATAGCTCTCAATTTTCTCCCACATCTAGTTTCTCTTCGTAATTAAACTAATAATTGCACCCATAAAACATATATATATATCTATAGATATCTATAGATAGATAGATATCCAATTTACCTTCCCCCCCAAAACTCGATTTTTAATGCCTTCTCATTGGTATTAAAAGTAAGAGATCCTGGATAAAGAAGATGTGGTTTTTCTATAAAATGGAATACTACTCAGCCATAAAGAATAAGAAATTAGATTCACTCGTAGGAAAATGGATACATATTGAGGATATACTAAGTGAAATAAGTCAGTCACATATGTGTAAATACTGAATAGTTTCTCTGGTGTGAAAAACTATAATAGTACATAAGATCTTAATGAGGTAACTGACAATGTAAAATAGGAAGGAAAGGGCTAAAGTTGTAGGGAGAGTGGGAAGGGTAGCGGAAAGGTAATAAGGGAAAAGAAAAACATAGGAGAAAATGAAAAAATGGAAATAAAGTATTTATAAATGGGGAGGGGAGGAGGGGGTGAAGGGAGGGCAGGGACAAGGGAAAAAAATAAGAACCAAGACCTGTCATGTAAATGTACAAGATCCCAATAATGACTGTAAATGTATACCTAAAATGTACCAACAAACTCAATGAGGAAAATAAAATAGAATAGAATAAAGTAAGAGTTCCAAGTTTGTACATGGTCTTCAAGTCATGATCTGGTCTCTGTCTATCAGTTACCTCATTTCCTTCTACTTTCCTCCCTCTTCACTCCTGCCTCAACTGTACGGACAACTTTCAGTTGTTTAATTTCAGTTGTTTAATACGGACCTTTCAGTTTCAGGCTAATTTAGGTCCACTTGTCATAGGTTCTCCCATAACAACTTGTATTTTTCTTTCAGCATATCTCTCTCACAATTACAATCAAGTAGCTCTTTGTGTATTTATTGTACCTCTACTAACATAAATTGCATAAGAGACTGAGATTAAAATGTTTTTGCTCACTGTTGAGACCACTGTCTGGCACTGTACATACATTCTTCATTTAATGACCGAATTTAGTACCTGTGACTAGGCTGTTAATGAACTGGTTGCTAAATGAGGAATTGTATACAGTATGTATAATTTTCAGAACAAAGAAATGGTCAAAGGTCTAATCTGATGACTTTGTTTTATTTGCATAACTCTTACATGCAGTACTGTAACGTAGATAACATATAATTACTGTAATGTAAGAGAACATAAAACTACAGTACTATACTGTATGGTATAATCAGCAAAAATTACAGTACCATATAAACAAGGTATACTGCACAAAAGAAGACTTAGAGGCTCTATAAAGAAGATGTACAGAACTATACCCCCCCAAAAGACAGATCATTAGTCCAAGTGGCGGGTCAAAAGTCCAAACAGCACACCTCAGTCCTAAGTCCAAACAATCATTAAACAAGTAGGTAATTAAGTGACGAATATCTGTATAAGAGCAAGATTTATTTACTGAGAGGTTAAAGGGAGGGAAGAGAAATGGGAAAAACAGAAGCAGCAAGATAAATCATGACCAGTACAAATGTCCTATAATGAATGGTATCATTATATATATATGTATATCTAAAAAGTACCAATACAAAATTAACATTAAAAAAGTATTTACTGAATGAATATAGCATATATGCAAAAACAAAACAACACAAAACAAAAAAACCCTTTCATTATACCCAAGTTTGAACCAGAAGCAGGGGAAAACTTATTTCAGTAGACGGTAATAAAGTTTCCCTCCATGTAATATAAATTCCTTAAAAATGAGATTATAGCCAGACATAGTGATGCACGCCTGTAATCCCAGAATTCAGGAGGCTGAGGCAGGAGGATCACTGAGTTTGAGTCCAGCTTGGGCTACTTAGTGAATTAAGGACAGCCTAAACCACATAGTAAGACCCTGTCTCAAAAAAGAAAAACAAACAGACAAACAAACAAAAAAAAAAACAAAGAGAGATCATATTCTTTGAATGAGGAACATTAGTACTTGACATATAAAGCATCCAATAAATATTTGGTAAATAAAAAAATAAATGAACTGCTAAGTAAAACAATACATCTTTGCTTACTGAATGATTCCCTGTCCCTTGTGGTATAGATACTAAGTCTAAAAAAAAATGTCACATTTTCTCCTTAGTTACTAGAAATATGAGAGCTATTAATTCAAATTTCTACTTAAATATATTAGGTAGTTATAGTTAAGTGGCCAACTTACCAAAGCAGACTTCCCCACGCCTCCTGAACCAAGGACCACTAGCTTGTACTCACGCATGATGTGGTCTGTTTAAATACTGACAATCTGAAAAACAAAATAATAAACAATTAACAAACATGCTAAGAACAGACTAAGAATGTACAACTATCATATCAAATATAGAATTTTGTTTTTCCCTTCACCCTATCAGAAGGACAACAAAGGCTACAAAATAAAAACCAAGCAGTTTTTAACCAGTTGTATAAGATGATTATTAGACATTTTAATTTACTGAGAATCACCTTTGACAACACATCAATTATTAGCCTGTTCATGGTATTGAGTATATGATCAGAAAACAAGATGATTAAAACCAATAACTGTCTTATAACTATAATCATAAGCCCAACTCTTTGCAAAGCCATAGTTCAAACCATCTAAGTAGTTTCCTAAAGTGTTCACAAGTTTTAATATAATGTACATCCTATTTTATTTGCTTAAAATATATAATTCTGTATTATTTTGTTCATTATTGTATTATAGCTGAGCCATGAAAAAATGTTACCTTGGAAATTATTAGGCTATGAACAGGAGATCAGAAAGAAATTAATATTATCAGGCATTAATAATATATTTCATAAGGCGCAAAATGATAAGAGAAAATAAAATGAATATAACTTTATTTTAAAAGGTAAAGACAGGAAATAATTTCCAATGGCCATGATGAGATAACAATGCTTACACTTTTCACGCATAGTAAACTGAACATTAAAACTTTTCAGACATTGAATAATAAACAAGGTAGGACTGTTTTTTTTTTTTTAGCCAGAGTCTCGCTTTATAGTGCAGGCTGGCCTTGAACTCACTGTGTAGCCCAGGCTGGCCTCAAACTCATGGCAATCTCATAGCCTCAGCCTCCTGAATGCTGGGATTACATGTGTGCACCACCATGCCTGGAAGGACTGTGATTTTCAAAGATAAGAAATAAATGAAGTGAGACCTACAACTGCCCTGGATTTCTTCTTAAACACACTTTTCAGATTGTGATATAGGGAGAAAGAACTCAAGAAGAGCTTAGAAGAATACAGAGGGAGTTATGCACAGACAATTCCAAAAATCTGCACATGAATTCAAGTCTGTGTCCAACACTAATAAGCTAGACATAAAAGGCTGAAATTCCAAAAGGAAAAGTAAAGAGAAAAGATCTACCAGCTGAACAATTTCCAGGGTTCACATGGTACAGGGAAATGGGTTTCTGATCCTTGTTGAATTCACTAAAAACCTAGGAAGACTCATACTTTAGTAGCAGAACTCAAAAACTTTAAATGGTACTCTTGTTTCCTAACAAAGCCTCAAAATAACAAGCCTCAAAAGTAAAAAGTTGTTCCACGTGTAATCAGTTGCTTATCAGAACAAAGCTCAAAATTCTTTAAAAGGAGAAAAGCAATTCTATTACTCAAAAATGCAAAATTAATAATGTCCAGCATCCAAGAAAAAAATGAATACCCATGGTGAGATGTGGTAGTGCATGCCTACTGTCTCAGCTACTTGGAAGAGTGGAGGCTGAAAAGAGTTTGAGTCCATAAATTTGAGACCAGCCTAGGTAATACAGCAAGACTTTATCTCATGCAAAACAAAAACAAAAAAACCAAAGAAAGTATAGGGTAAACAAATAGAAGGACAGTAAATTAAAAGCAATCACATTATCATATCAAATGCAAACAATTCAAAGGCAAGATTTAAAAAAGTGATAATTACTATATATATTGTTTTAAGAAACAAGTAAGAACACAGGAGAAGTAACACTTATTGGTATTAAACTCTCCTTTGCTGGAAATGTTATTACTATGTTTTATTGTCTGTATTCAAAATAGAAGGAAATATTAAATTTCACTTGAAGATTAGTGAAAAGGGTTGTTTTTTTTCTTAACAGGTATTGATGGCACTAAATGAATCTCTACTTATTCTAGATAGCACTTTTGGTCACTTAGACTGGCTGTTCTCCAACTGGTTTTAGGTCCTCTTTATACACTTGACACTATTGTGAGCATTTGGTTATATAGGTTCTCAAGAATGAACGTCGGATTTTTTTCAAATGCTTTTTCTGCTGTTTATGTTTACTCTTACAGCTTGTATTTAATATTGTACTAAGCTAGGAATAGTAGGTTCCAGCCTATGCAAAAGGAAGAAATAAAGCTGTTCTCTCTTTTTTTTCAAATGCTTTTTCTGCTGTTTATGTTTACTCTTACAGCTTGTATTTAATATTGTACTAAGCTAGGAATAGTAGGTTCCAGCCTATGCAAAAGGAAGAAATAAAGCTGTTCTCTCTCTTTTTTTTGGTTTTTTGAGACAGGGTCTCACTATGTAGTTGAGACTGACCTGGAACTCACTATGTAGCCCAGGTGGGTCTCGAACTCACAGCGATTCTCCTGCCTCAGCCTCCCCAGTGCTGGGATTACAGGTGTGTGTCATCACACCTGGCTTTAAACTGTACTCTATTTACAATGAAATGATCTTATGATGAAAATTTCAAGGAATACACAAAAAAGTTGCCAGACCATTAAATGAATTTAGCAGAATTGCAGGATAAGAGGTTGATATAAACAAAGCAACTATATATTTATAAACTGTCAAAAAACTGAAAACTGAAAAAATACCATTTACAAAAGCATCTAATAAGAAATAAACTAATAACAGTGGAATTTAACAAAATATATACAAGATCTATATACTGAAAATACAAAACATGGCTCAAAGTATAGGCCAGTGGAGATATGCTATGTTTAGATATGCCTATACCGTTAAACTATTCTCTTCATAATTATGTGCAGATTCAATGCAATCAATTGCAATCAAGTTTCTTGTTTTTATAGAAACAAAATAACTTTATCATTGATATGAAAACGTGAGTATAAGGGATGATAAAAAACTATGGTGAATGTTTACATAAATTTACTGCAGAAGGATGAGGTGGGAGAAAGAGGATGAAAAAAGAATTAAGATGTGTAATATACATGTACCAACTCCACATGATGAATATAATTGTTATGTGCTGCAAATATGTATTAATAAAAATTTAAAAATATTACAATAAAGACAGTATATCTTTATTGTATTCTTTCTTTATAATCAAGACAAAATACTCTTGTTTCTAACACACTTATCTAATTATCCTTGCTACTCTTTGCAGTATTGGAAATTATGCTTTTCTTGTTTGTAGCAATAGTTGCGTGTATATACACATGTATTAAAACTTACTGAACTGCACACTTATAACAGGTTTCTTCTTTACAGTAGGTTATAGGTCAACAGAGTTAATCTAAGAAAATTCAATTGGGGAAAAAGGAAAAAATTAAACCAGTGGAATATATAGCAGATATGTTGGCAAAGATGATCATTTTGAATCAAATATTTACTAAATATTCTAAGAGACCAGTTCTAGGTATCAAGGAAACAAAAAAATGAAAAGTGTATTGCCCATCCTCAAAAACTATTATAGAATAGAAAGAATAATTAAAATACAGTATGATGTGAATCAAGTCAGTACACAAATAAAATAAGGGACAGACAAATACACTGCAGCATTAAATACAAAAGATCCATGGAATATCATACAGTTTAGTGTGGCTAGAACACGGAGTTTAAAAAGAAGATATGGAAGATGAATCTGCGTTTGAAGACTGACTCATGCTTGCAAAAGCACGTGACCTATTAAAAACAGTGGTTTCTATTTTACCAGGTAAGCAAATAGAGAGAAATCAGATTTTTAAAAAGTCAATATGATTAAATTTTAGAAAGGTAACTGATAACCATACAAAATAGACTAAACAAAGGAGACTAAAGGCAGGGAGAATAGTTGGGAAGCTACTGCTTGAGTTCAGATAGGAGATGACATGGACCTGTACAGTAGCACTAGGGTGAAGAGGGGATAGTACTTTTCTGAAAGTAAAATTGGCAGGATTAGTTATTATAAAGAGAATACCTTTTAGGTACCTAGCTTGAGCAAATAAGTGCATGTTGGTGTACCTGCAATGAAGACAGTAAGTACAAGAGAAGGTTTAACACTCCTAGAAAAATTAAATCAGAGATTCTTATACATAAAGCACATAGCAGAATCTGCTAGCTATTTTGAACCAAGTACGGAAGTGCAGTAAAAAACAAATGGACCAGACAGAAGTACAAAGGCAGTCAAAATATAGTAGCAATTCAAACCATGGCAAAAGATGAGATCACTCAAAGATAACTTAGTGCAGTGAAAAGAAAAAAGTTAAGAACTGAGACCTAACTATATTTTACTATGAACATGGAAGAAAAGAGAAAAAGGAAGGTGGGGAAGTCTGTGCTGGACACTAGGCATTTTATTTTATCACTTCCATCTGTGTTAGGCAGTTCCCTCATTAAAAAAAAATACTGCCAGTTACATACAAAAATATGTATTTTATGCAGAAACATCCTCTTCCTTAACGTCTTTCCCAGGCCTAATGTAATTGCTGCCACATTAACAGTAAGTGAGTTTACCATGTCTCTAACTCAAAAGTGTTCATGTTTCTTTTTTCTTTCCATTAAGTTTACTGATACATTTAAAGCAAAAAATAAGTTACACTTATCATTGGGGTCTTGTACCTTTACATAATATATCTTGGTTCTTGTTTTTTCCCACACCCCTGTCCTCCCTTCACCCCCTTTACCCTTCCCTATTTACAAAGACTTTGTTTCCATTTTTTCTTTTCTCTTACTTTCTTGCCCCTCCCCTTCCACTTCCCTTTAGCGATTTTATTCCTATTCACACTCTCAATTATACCACAGAAACTATTGGGTATTTGCTCAAGTAAAAGTGTTCATCTTTCAAGAGGGAATCCTAATATAGCAATCTCATTTATATTCCCCAAATGCCTCCAGTTTTTTTAGAGCAACAGAAATTAGGGGAAAACTCAGAGGTCATAACAGCAAAATACTTGGCACCTTAAACAGAGTGATAATTCAAGTTCCAAAGCCATTTTTTTCATACACTGTAATGTACAGAAAATTGTTTTCTTTACTCCTAACAAATGCCTTGGGTTATAAATTTATACACATAAGCACATTTAAAAGTGTAAGAATAAAGT